TTCTCTCTATTGCTCCCACACGGAAAGAAAAATACCGGAAAAATTACGGAACTTTCTCGTATTCGTGGAGTGACCTTGGTTTTCGGGAAAAAATACTGTAAGTTCCGTAAAAATTTTCGTAGCGAGCAGGAATTCTTATGGAACTTTCAGGAGAATTTTACGGTACCTCCAGTACTTTTTTCCGAAAAGCAAGGTCACCCCACGAATACGCGAAAATTCCGTAATTTTTCCGGTATTTTTCTCTCCGTGCAGCCTTCCCTCCTGACAGCAATAATAGCAATTAAAACTTTGTTTTAAAATTTCCCCTCAATGGGGACATATATCTTTTTCTTAGCCAAAAAAAAACAAAGGATTTTGACAGCTGCATGTGTCAGGTGACTCAGAGTAACGACATTTCAATTAAAGATACCTGAATAAATAAATTATGTAATTGAAAAGCAACAAATAATAGAATAATAAGGGAAATAGACTGTTGTATCGTCAATAGAGGAGATATGCAGGAAATATCAAAGGCCATCAGACTGTTGTACAATATTGAATTCACTCAATCGAGCACCACACGTGCCAGCGAAGTGTCTTTGTTTATCATTTTTTGAATGTTCGTTAATCTTCCTCTATCTGTTGCACTGACTGATAAGTCAATGAAAAGCAGCAAAAAAAAGTGAATGTATAGAGTATGGTGTTAATCCTCCAGTCGCCAATGCACAAACAATATCCAATTGTTGATGCAGAAGTTAATATAAACACAAACAATGAATTGATACAACAGAACGTCATTGTGCAATTTGATTCTTAACTGGATTTCCGCGCGATAATGACTTTATCGTGTTTGAGCCGTCAAACGGGCGCCAAAAGTTGGGGTAATGATACCGGAAAAGCTATTGGACTTATCGGCAAAAGTGTTGACTTACATATCTCCGGTCAATTGTGATACCGACATGAATTATAAAATTGTCTAGATTGATAAATTTCACAGGTGTGGATTGTATTTTGGGAATTGTACCTCAAGTTACAATGAGAAAAAAAAAATATTTTCGCCAAGAATATTTTCTTGACATCAGTAAATCTGGCGATCACTGTGTAAATACTCCGATAAGACTTATTAATGCCAAATATATTTTCTTGTGTTTAGTAAGTATTGTTGATTAAGGAAATTTTTTTTCTCAGTGTATATTGTCAACAATTTAATTGGATGACTCGATCTTTCATTTGTTGTTAACAAAAACTAAAACTAACCTTGTCCACACATGTATACCCTTTCGGGCTTTCACATTTCCCATCCCCAGTTTCCCCCCTGTACCGGGATTACGCCGAGGGCCGAAGGGAAAACCTCATGGGAAAAAAACCTTGGCCAGGTACAGTCGTCTCTTTCGAGACTATCACTCGTACGATGAAACCTGTGTAAGTTAGAGCGAATTCTATCTCTAAAAAACCTCTGGCATTTCCCCGACTGGGAATCGAACCCACGAACCTCATGTGCCAACCCCTACGCTCTAACCGCACGGCCACCGCACGTCGGTTTGTTGTTAAAAATTAAATTTTAGTTTAAGATTCGATATAATGTAAGTTAGATTGCTAATTTCCGATGTTGCTTGTTCCAGAGTTCGTAAAAGAGTGTCCTGGGACACCAGTTCGTCCGGGGTGACAGGTCGGCCCAAAAGTCATGGCCTTTTGTGTTGGGCTGTTTCGGTCATAAATGGGACCGAATCAAGATTCGGATCAGGATCGGATTTCGGATTCGGATCAAGCAATACTGGGTATTACCGACATAACTAGAATTATATCGAATCCTGAAGTAAAGTAAAATTAGTTAACTATAATTATAGACGAGACCTACTGCGCACTCCGTGCGTCGAATTTGAATTTGGCGGTTCGACTCCACCAATGAGGAATTAGTCCTACGCGCTTCGAGATATTTCGACTAGGGCGAACTTCATTTTTATGTTTCTACTTTCATAATAAAGACTAAAGGAAAATTACTCTACTATAATTATAGATACTACCCGCGCAGAGCGCAATATCACTTTCGCACATTTTGTTTTCATTATGTTGCGTACGGTCAAATTTGCATATCAATATTTAATAATACGAATATAATGTCCTGTAGTAGTCGGGTATTTCCATTTCAAAAATTAATTCAAATAGATTTTTTATCAATACTACTAGTGCGCACGCTTTATTATCACACCAGAACAAAAAAAAATCATAACTCATCATTTATTTTTTGTAGAACTGTATCAATCAAAAACACCTCTTAAATATAATTTCAGCTAAAGAAATAAAATCAATCGACATTGAATTTAACAATCACTTTATTAAAAATATAAAAATTTTTTTCTGTTATTCACATTCTGAATGTAGTCCTTGAATGGCTAATTTGGCACATGCAGCCTCTACTACTGTAATCTTGTATTTTGCCATCAAAGGTTTTTCCACAGCAAAATCATTCGCACTCCTGCAAAAAAAACATAAAAATTGATTTAAACAATATAGTGACAAAAGGGATTTGCGGGATTATTGGAAAACGAATATCTCTTACAGTACTTAATTCACTGACTTTTCAGTTTTCGTTTTAAATTTTTTAATTTTTCTGAATTCAAAGGAGATCAGCAATTCCTTTTTATGATGAATTTTGTTGAACAGCAATCTTTTCAAAATATCTGGTAAATTTATGACTCGTCTGTTGTCTTCATCAACGGAAGCTGAGTATATGGCTCTCTTCGAAGCAGTAAGAGAAGCTCAAATTATTAAGCACCCGTATTCTGTTGAAATTTGACAATCCAATCGTAATATATGAGGACAACAATGGTTGCATTAGCATCGCCAATAATCCCACGAATTATAAAAGAACAAAACACATTGATATCAAGTATCATTTTTCACGAGAGCAAATTATTAACAATTTAATCACATTGAGATATGTTTCAACAGGAGAACAGCTGGCAGATATGTTCACTAAGCCATTGCCCGGGCCAAAATTTGTTGAGTTGAGAAGAAAAATGAATATTGATTAGATGATTGTTTGTTTCATGTATATAACTGTATTATGTTGTGTAATGATCTGATTAGGTTTTTCTGGGTTTCCCTAACCCATCGCAGCAAATACTGGACCATATGTATTTGCCCCCAGAAAACAGTTAAGAGGTATATTAGTTTAGAAGTTTGTTGTAATTACATAATAACATCATTAGTTGTCATTTAATCGTCATTGAATAAGTACGATTGAATTTTGAGGGGGTGTGTTGGATTTTGGGGTTTTCCCCCGAGTTCAAAATTCACTCTCCTAGAGTTTTTATATTTCCGGATTTAGGAAATATTTATTATTTTGTTGCTGTGAGACCTTTCCTCTATGTTATGAGAAAAAAGGGAAAGTCTTAAAAATTCTCCAAGTGTTTATTTATTTCGATTTCCATAATCCAATAATAGATATGATAATTTTTTCATTGGTTTCATTGAGAGCACAAAAATTAATAGTTATTTCATAGCTGTTTTGGTTCATATTATTATTTTATAATTTTTCTTAGAACATCATCAGGATAAGGAGAACAGTTTATATGAGGAGAAATAGAGAGAGATGAATGAACAAGGGCCTTTTGTAAAATGGGTCCATAGGGTGAAAACATTGGTTGCTATGAGTTAGTAGAGTTGCAGAGATCATAGGAGAAAGATATACCTTCTGAGTACGTTTAATAAAAATTAACGTCTAACTCTAGCGCATAATTACTTTAAACTCAACTTCTTCAAATTGATTTGCCTGACTGTTTTCTCAAGAGTTTTTTGCACTGGAAGAATCTTCCACGGAGATATTGCTCTGATTATTGACTATACTTACGTATTTAGCATAGGACAAAAAAATATCATAAACGATATTCATGACGTTAACGTAGATAACCCGGTATTGAACGGGTACAAGGAGAAAGTTGATCATCTGAGTTGGTGGCCAGAAACAACAATCCACTTTATAAGTGGTGAAGAACTTCTCACGAATCTCCTCAAATACGTCCTCATTTTCCCTCTGCTCCAACGCCCCGTGTCCAAAGAAGAAAATAGCGAGACATGTCGGACTAGCGATTGCTTGGTCCAGAACAGTTTTCTTCACGATGGAGCCAGCATTTCTTCCAGGTAAAACTTTATCCAGAATGGCATAGAAATAATGGTGGAATGGGCCTTGAGCGGTTCCAACTGCAAACATGTTTCTGATTCTGATGGAATCCAAGGAATCCTCTGAATTTTCTCGCTCTGATGTACTGGCGAGAATTATACCACCATCTCTTTCTACTTCTGCATAATTGTACGGACAAGACATCGGTAATTCCTCATTCTCAGATGCGTCTGATCCAGTAAAGAATTTCCGCTTTAAGCTGTCTGATTTCTGCTGGATTGCGTCTCCCACTCCCATCATTACACCGCAACTCACCGTATTTGTAATGATTAGGTATTTCCCTTCAGGAATATTAAAACCAGATATTATTTAGAAGGAATTTATTGGAAGCGATGGCAATTCGAGTTCATAAATCTAAATACGACGCAATGATTTCTTGTCATCCCATCTCTAAAGACATCATCCCTGACGAATATAGTACACTGAGAAAAAAAATTATTTTTGCCAAGAATATTTTCTTCCCACCAGTAAATCTGGCGATCACTGTGTAAATACTCCCATAAGACTTACTAATGCCATAGTATAATGTGCCTCTAGGGAGTATAGTATATTATGCAACAAGTGTATAATGGATTTTTTCCCTCGTCGGAGGGAGTAACACGAGCCGAAGGCGAACTGTACAGTCCCACGAGTCAAAAAATCCATAACGCACGTGTTTCGTACACTATTTTATGTCGTTGGGCAGCTATGAAATAAAAGTACTTTCTGACGGAATGTAAGTTTATAATTATAATCACATGAGTCTGACAATACTTCATTTCCGTGAGGCGCACGATATTTTTTTCTCGAAGGGACTAGAAACTGAGATCTAACCGAGCGAAGCGAGGCTAGTATCGTACTTTCCAGTCCCTAGGGTTCGAGTTGACCAATGAGGAATTAGTCCTACGCGTTTCGAGATATTTCGACTCGGACGAACTTCATTTTTCTGTTTCTACTTTCATAATAAGGAAAGAAAAACCCTTTTATCGAATCCACAATCTAATTACAACTCTGAGTTCAACAGATGACTAACTTGAATGAACGATCTTTCGTTGTTTATAAATATAGTAACATGCACAATCATTAAAAAATTACCAGTTTGAAACTGTGTAGCAACCACCGGATATCGAACGACGCTATTCTATTGGTCGATGATTGAATGGGAAAAATAATCTGTCAAATACCAGTGGTGCTTCAAAATTAATCGGATATTTAGCAGAAAAACGCCTCGTGTTTTGCACTCAAAATTTTTAACCTGCCGAATCGGGTACAATAAAAATTATCCGCAAAATACATAAAAACTAGGAAATATTAGGGAAAAATTCTTGAATATCATGATCCGTGAAACCTTGTCAGATTTTTCTCGTAGATTTCTATAGAAATTCGTTCTCACTTGGGGATTAGGTAAAATGTTCCGTAATTTTTCATGAATTTTTCTCTCCGTTTACGCAGTCGTTCCTATAGGCAACGAAATTATTGAAAATTCTCTGCTAGTTTCAAAACACCAGCGGTATTACTACTGATAATACTAGATATTTTTCCTTCAGCTCGCAAATATTTTCATTTAATCCAAGAGACATTTGCATTGTAATATCGTTGATAATTAATAACTTTGATGTGGCTGTAGCTTTCATTGAATTTACCAAACAATAAAGAGGAACACATACTGTCGGATAAAGTAATTGCTTCATTGTTGTTATCTATTCAATTAGAAAATTATTCTAGAGATTCTACGGCTTTTAAGGGAACTATGCAGACTTTTTAAAAAATGAGGAAATTTACCATCGAACGTTTATTTACCAAATAGGTTTGATTGATTATTTGATTAATTGATTAATTGTTATTTGATTTGATTAACTGTTTGATATCTGCCGAATAATAACACGTCGATTAATTTACTCAAAAATATATATTAAGGAAGAGTTTTCCGCTAGAAAATAAAAAATTTTAAAATAAAAAATAAAAAATTCTTATTCTTTTTTAATTGACGATCAATGTAGGAGATATGGATGGAATATTTTGAATAAATTGCGTTCATGACTGCAAAGAATAACGCAAAACAACAATTTTTTAAAGAAAGGAAATCTCAGTGCGGTAATATTCCGGTAATTATCCTACCGGATAAAATAATTCCATTAATATCTCAGAAGATTCACATTTAGGTTTAGTATTCAATATTTTTCACTCTCCTCTGAATTAATTTAATGGATTGTGTGGTATAATCTTTTTTATAAATTGTTAATTAATGATAACGTTGTTTTTGTTTGAATTTAGGATTTTTATCACGAGACTCAAGACTATATTTCAGAAATTGTTATTGCATCGAATATTTTCTGCAATCTCTCCTTTCGTGTGAAGAAACTTGAAAATTGAGTTTTACTCACCGAACAGAAGATTCTTGATAATTCCCATTTGCAATCCGATATTGGAAATTCGATACTTCTCGATAAAAATCCTTTCCTTATGAAAATAGCGGCAGATTATGTCTCCTGAAATTTCTCCAAATTTTTTTTCTCTTGAGAAAAAAATATGAAATAACGGGAATTGTCGAGTAAGAAAAAGTAATTTATGGTTTCCACTATTTCCAGTTGTCCTTGTGGGTGATATTCTTGATCCTCTGGCGTTTGTACGAGCGGAAGATGGGGCTGTGGGGTTGACCGCGGGGCATACCGCTCCACCAGCTCAAAAAATTCAAACGTAAAAACCAAATGGGAGAGTCTCAATCTCCCGAAGATGGTTTTGAAGATGTCCGCAAGCTAACGTTTATTGGGTTATAGGTTTATTTCCACCCCAGATTACAGAGCATTCTGGTTTATGCCAAGTCCAAAGACGATTACAGACTGACACATCACGAGATCCTAGGGTACGATAAATACCTCGGCTCGGTTGAACATTTTGTTTGCTGGCTTTACGCATTGACTTTTGTTCCTTTTTTTTGTCAAACAAGACTCCATTTCCATTGGAGTTCTTTCACCTATTATTTGTTATCATAAATATGTACACTCACTTGTATGTGCAATCATTTCCTTTTTTAAGATGATTATTTCCATGACATCTCCTACAATGAACGATTTAGACAATTTTTTTTTGCAATTTAATCCAATTCAATTTTCCTATCGGAAATTCTCATATCATATTCTAAATTTGCGGTTTCGAGATTGAATTTTTTAGAAAAACTTTTAAAGTTTTTTAACACTAAATTTTCCAACTTCGATTAACAAATTGAATAATGTGTAATTAAATTTCATTCGCTGTTCGAGAAAGTTTTTTACGATCTTATTTGTTTTTTTTAATCAATTTATTATTGTTTGTTTTACCAAGAATGACTCGAATCTTACACATGTACTTGGAGTATTTGATATTATTAAATAATTGTAAATTAGGAACATTAATGAACGAATAATTACGGTATCTGGTTTACAAAACTTCTTGATCTTTATTGAAGTTAAACAGATGATAATTACAGGGTAAATTATTTAGCCGCGACCGCCTTTGGCTTTGGAAGTCCCTCCCTGAATCCATTCCTGTAACAATACCAGTCGTAATTAATTAATCTGTAGAAATCTTAACTCGTGCCCTGAGTAAGTCGGAGATAAATTAATCTGTGTTATACCTAGTCCGACGATAGTTCGGAAGATAAATAAAAGATAGTAGGAATTCACTTGCCGTTACATTTTTTATTGAAATTTGCGATCGAATTAAACCTATGACTTCATATTTAGGTCAATGCATTTGAATGGATTATATTTTTTTTATTTCCGGTACTGAAAAACATTCGCTATCAAATGTGACGTGGCAATATTTACTAGCAACTAATATTTATCATAAGTAGTTGAGAATAATTGCAGGGGAAATACTAAAATGCGATTAAAACAAGATTTTGGAAACTGTGAGAACGTTATTTTTGATGATATTTCGAAAATTGAATGATCTGCATGAACCAAATGGATTCAATTAGAAAGTCGGGGAATCCCAATCAATTTTATCAGTTGACTGACAAAACTATTGATGAAACTTCCTATGAAATTCAAACATAGACAGTTCAAATATTGAAATATCGAAGAAGCAAACTTGGAAGTTGGCAATTTTATTTGATTCTCTTAAGGAATAGCTCAAGAAAATTTTGGAGGGTTACTGATGATGAATACTCACTTGAACTTGCGGCGAACGATCTTGAGGTGACGCATACGGCCAGTACCAGTGGTCTTCCTCCTCTTAGCTTTGATGGACCAATTGTCTATTAAAAACAATCGAAATTGTTATTAAAATTCAACTGCGATAAGCTTCTCTTACAAATTGATTCTTCCAAAAATCTACGTTATTTCATCATGATTTTCCCGCTTTCCAGTAATAAAAAAAAAATCTTCAAGTTTCACTGAGAAGAAAAAATCTTTTGTCAAATGTATTTACTTTCCACCAGTAAATTTATACAACAATAAAGAGATTCCTTGTGATAGTACAATATATTCAAGAAAAAAAATGTTCTAGGTGTAAAATATCTTTTACATAATGCCATAAACTATATGTACAATAAATTAGTGGTGAGGTGACGAATGATGAAAAATTCATTCAGTTTTTGGTGGTTTTTTTTAGAAATATCTATTGAACAAAAGTGGGAAAATATTTCCTACATTGCAGTGGCAAAACGATAAGTTTCAGGAATATTATCGAAATTAAAAAAGATGGAAAAATTTTTGACAAGATCTTTTTGATCTTGAGATATATTGGGACTACGTAAAAATATTTTCTTATAACAAATTGGAAACTTACACGAACGCATCTTCTTGGCTGGATATCCACACTGTGCACATTGTGATTTTTGAATGTGATAAGAAGATCTTCCACAACGCCTGCAGAGCGTATGTGTCTTATTGCGACGCTTTCCAAAGCTCGATGTACCCTTCGTCTACAAAAGAAATCACAATAAAATTTTTACCACTTGATAAACATATCCATCATTTTTTTAAAATGATTATTTATGATTTTGGGATGATAGTTGAGGCTTGGGAAACACGTGTGCATGAAAACAATTGATTATGGGTGACGTGACAGCGTATAACCTCTCCGGTTCCAACACCCCATCAACTCCACGCAATTTATGATTTTACGGAATAAATATTGTGGCATCTTCGATTGTTGAAGAATCAGGCACTTTTTAGTTTAAATTTATTTGCATTTGGGGGATGGATCACTTCAGATTTGATGGATTTTCTGGGATATATTTATTTCTTACCATTTTGCACGAAAGAGCACTTAGAAAAGAAACGAAAGAGGGCGTCGTTATATGTTGAAGGTGGGGATGAACCGGATGCGAGAACACGAATACATGTGTACGCGCCAAATTTCCGATTTTTGAAATTATTGTGGAAGACAAGACAGTGCCATAGAACGGATAAAACATTCAATTTATTTTAGAGGCATAATTTTTTCAAAGGAGTATGAGGAATTATATTTTTAATCCAGTGAACATATTGGCAGTGAGTTGTGAATCTCCGGAGAAAATAGGAAATTATTCCATCAATCAGTAAATTATCTTTCCGTGACGCTTTCTTCTTCTTCGGTTTTCGAATAATTCCTGTTTTACTTTCGTATCGAGGTTATATATTGTGTACTCATTTGAAAGGGAATTAAATGAGCTCTGAAAAAAGACATGAATTATGTGGGTTCTACCATTTTCCATGGAGTAATGGCGTTTTCAACGTGAAAATGCGATTTCAAAAAAGCGAAAAATTGGGAAAATGTGTATTTTGGCTGAAAGGCATCAGTTGTATATGATTGAGTTGCTTTTTTTCATAAATACTCAGTACTTCTGATGACTACTTTGAACGACTTTCCTCGAAATTAAGCGTTGAATAATTTTTTCGTTGACTACTTTCCGCTTGAAAGCTGTATTTTTTCTTGGAACTTATTATTTCAGGGTAATAAATAATGTTAACTTTTCAGTTATCGGAGTAATACGATTATAAAAATAATTGAGTATTAAGGTTCTTGTAAATATATAAACATTTATTAAATTTCCATCAGCCTGTCTACATCAGTCAAGACTTCTCGAGAGTATCTCCCACCGCCAGGGACAATGTGTTGAGCACCAACCAGGCAATCCTTCAATTCTGTTCCTTCCTCAATAACACAGTTATTACACAAAATGCAGTTAATGATAACACACCTATAAAAAAAGAAAAAAATGATAATTCTTCAACTAATAACCCATAGATATTCGGAATTTCTACGGATGTAAAACTGAGGGATACCTTTGCTTAATGACGACATTTCCCATGATAATCGAGTCAGCAACTCTCGTTTTCTGTTCTATCACACATCCAGGTCCAATATGACTTTGTTTAAGTGATGTTTTCTCGTCTATACGAGCTCCCTCATCAATTCTACAATTTGTTACTTGAGTACTCTTAACTGTAGCCAATTGAGAAATTACGTTAGTTGATATATTGCAAGATGGAAGTTGAGATAACTGAAAAAATGAGAAAATATAAAAATGAGAAAATATAAAAATCCAACGAGTGCAAAGCTTCCATTCGGAAGCAAAAAGTATCTAAAATGAGAAATAAGATATAAAAAGCTGTAATTTAATTTCCGCATGCGTTTTATCTAGCAGTCATGCGAGATAGCTATATTTAATTTAATAAACTACCTGACTATTGGCTAAACTGTACATTTGCACAGTATTTGCTCTGAGTCCGAACTTATCAGTGATCAGATGGGCATAGCATCTGATCAGGTCACCGTGATAAGCTCCTTCGAGATCAAAGAAGTGATCATTGAAAGCCGACATTTCCCTTATCAATTCATCTGACGTTTTTTCAACAGCAAAACGAAAAATGTCTTCTCTGATATCCATTTTCACTATTGACGTATTTTTGTCATCGAGGGTTTGCTTCGGAGGTCGGCTCAACTGTTTGCTGACAATGTAGGGGAGAAGCTCGCCCTTTAGAGTTCCAAAATTCCTTAAAATCGAGAAATCAAGTAAATTCATATTTAAAAGATGAATTAATATGAAGCTACAATACCAATTCATTTATAAAATTGTAACTACGATAAATTTATGCAATAATGATTCAAACTCGTCATATTTATAATGAAGTGAGATGAGAACTTGAATTAAAATAACAGATAACTTTGTAATATTATATCAATTGGAAAAGACGAAGGGATTTAATTGCATGTTTTCAAAATTTTAGAATGAAAAATACTTTAGATTGTTAATATGAAATCGTAGATTCCTTTTTGACTTCACGCTTCATGAAAATGATGCAAAAAAAATAAAAATGTTTCGTCAATTGCTATAAAATAATTAATTCAATTAATTAAGCGGCCTATCTATCATAAGTCGACTTTTGTTTGAATTTTATCTTTTTACCCTACACTAGATAAAAATTTGAAATTAATTTTGTGTTGCGGGCAGCACTTGAATGGACATGAAAAAATAATGAAAAAAAAGAGGAAAAATTATTGAAGGGCGCTAAAGATCGATATTATTTAAAAGAGATTTACCAAGTTTGCTAAAGAATAATAAAAAATACGTAGCTTACTATTGCATCTAGCTGTCACTCAATCTTCTGGAGAGCAATGGTGAGGTGCGTAATTTTTATTATTTTTTGTAAGCCTGGTAGATCCCTTTTGAACAATATCCCTCAGTAGCGTCCTTTAATAATTTTTTCTCTTTTTTTTCATTATTTTTTTATAACCATTCGAGTTTCTCCCGCAAGACAAATTTGATCCCAAATTTTAATGTATTTTAGGCTGAAGAGATAAAATTTAAACAAAAGCTGGCATTCGATAGATAGTCCACCCGGGCCTTAACTGCTTAATATCGGTCCCATTTATTGTATCGAATTCTGTAAAACAAATGTCTTTCCACGTGCTCATTCTATATCCTCCAATATCTATACATATATATATATATATTTTTTCTGTTAAGCACTCTCTTCATCAGGAATTAATTACCAACCGTGAATTTAATACTAATTGCATCAATTCTCTCGAGTTGAAATTTCTTGCTAATCTAGTAAAATTTAAATTAAAAAACAAATCGAATGCCACATTGTCATAATAGAAGATAAATAAGAAATACATTACTTGTTATGAATCAGAAAATCGAGCACCCATTTTTTCATAATATAAAAATGTGCGTCCAACAATTTCGAATGCATAGTGAAACTCGTGTGTTTTCTCAGTAATTTCTGGGAAATTGTAAGAGTATCCTCGAAATCAGAGGCAGAGGCAAGAAAAACTAATCGATTAGTTCTGTTGTCAATTCCAATTAAATCAGTTTCTGGTTTTTGTTTACTCTTAGGTCCTGGTGTAACAAAGGTCCCAGGAATTTTAGGAGCAGGCAACATCAGTGCTGTAATGCTCGCATTGTATTTTCGATATGAATTGAGGATCTCAGAGATATTGACGTCAGAGATTAAGTCACAGGAAATCACCATGACATCTTTATGAATTTTATCGCTGATGAATCTCACAGCATCAGCTGTTCCTAGGTCCTCACTATCTGGTATTCCGACGACTTCTGGCTTCAATGTAAGATTGAGTTTGTCGAGGACTGAAGAGATTTCTTTACGTGTCGATTCTGTGACAACAACGATTGCCTCGGTAAAACCTGCTTTTTCGAGGGAGGCCAGGGGATAGTAAATCATTGGAAGATTGTGCACTGGAAGAAGACATTTTGGTTTTCCTGCTGTCAATTCTGTCATCCGGGAACCCTTTCCACCTGCCAGCACCACTGCTTGGAACTCTACATATTTCACCATGATTCCTGAATTATTGTTTCCACTGAAAGTTAGAAATAAATTTTGCAATTTTCGTATTCATTTTTTTTCGTGCTTCAGAATAGAAGCTTTATATTTCTTCAAGTCTAAATCTCTCATTTTTCATTTCCTTCTTCCAATTTATAGAAAATATAGATTCTGTATATAAGTGAGTAATTCTTTTCATTTTCTCTAAAGGATTTCAAGGAATTCACCATGAATCTACACTTCAATAATAATATTCACTTATATTCATCGATGTCGATTAAAATAAAATTTATCAGAAGCTGTATGGAATATTTTTTTTTGTGTGGCTATTTGTACCCGGAGTGATTTAAAAGTTATGGGGAAAAAATCAAGAATTCTCTGGATATGGCCCAAAAATCACTCACCTGCACTCACATGGGAATAAATGTCTTAAAATCACTCGCCCATACATCCACTCTTACTAGTCAATTCTCATTCTCACTTCAGGATATTAAGAATCTTATCACAAATAAAATTACTCCATAATACTCCGTCATAGATATCTAGGAAATTCTTCATTTTTTCGTGATACCTTTAAGGCCCGGATGGACTGTCTGGAAAAGATAATTTACTCCAAAATTGGGACTTCTAATTACTCCGTCAATTAATCGTTTTTTCCGATAATTGTTAGCTAGCGGTCTAGTTGTTAACAACCGCTAGAACGCTAGCTAACAATTATTGAAAAAAACGATTAATTGCCAAAGTAATGAGGAATCCGAATTTCGGAGTAAATGATCTTTTCTAGATAATCCACCCGAGCCTTAAAATCACTCCAAGTACAAATAGTCACACTATTCGTTTAAATTCATTTTCGCACCATTTCAAAAAGTTGTCATTGAAAGATTTAATCATGGCTTGAAAAGCCTCTTCAAGTAGTAAATCAAATGTAATTATTCGAAAAGAAACTGACAAAACCGAAAAAATAACATCTGATGTGGATGTACGTAGGAAATCTGCTTCGCGAAATCCAATGAATTCTATAATCTGATTCCATATTTAACACAAAGCAAAATTAACCTCACAATATCCCATTACCTATGATGAGTGCGAAAGTTGCGGTGTATTTTCTGCTCTTTAATGAACAGTGAATCATGCAATTACTTTTTCACGTCGCACATTCTACAGGTCTTTCAAGCTAAACGTACTGAACTGATGGTGTGAGTTATCCAATTCGTAGCAATATTAGGGGGATGACCAGAGTGAACCACACGTTTCATCAGAGGTGTCATTATTAATTTTTCATTGTAGGCTCCAAAGAGGATTGACTAAAGTAGAGGCTCAGTTCTGGGGGTTTGAGTGACCCCAGCTGCATCGTAGTACTGCACCCCAAGAGAGGGAGGGCGCCAAGCTTTGATGTCGCCGACACCAAAACAGGGGACAAGTACCTTCAGACGTCGTACG